TGGTAACATGGAAGGTCTTTGTTGCTGAACTATCTTCTCTTTTCTGTGATTATGCTGTAGATTTGTCTAAGGAATGTGTTGCATTGAAGGCTACCTTTCTGCTCCTGTTACTAGTCTTACAGAATCCTCATTGTTGCTCTAAGACAAGTGAACATGTTTTTGCCCTTGAGCACGGGTTATCTCTGTGGCATGATGGCTGTTTTGATGAATTACTGAAAGAGGGTGAAACCATCCAGAGAAAGTTTGCTGTCGGGCCTCGTACTATTTCTACTGATCTTGCAGGATCATTCTCAAAACTTATGTTCCGAGGAAAGGTGAAAGCTGCATTGAGATTGTTGAATGGCTCTGGATCAATGTCTGGCCAGCCCCTTCCACTTGATACTCCTGTATCATCTGGTGGGTCTATTGTTACTGTTAGAGACAAATTGATGGAGAAACATCCAGATCCTCCTGATCACAAACCTCATTTTATTGAATTCCACCAAATCAACGGAGGTCTAATTCGCTGTGATCCTACGGATGGATGGGGCTGCTGGTCCTTCAGGGAGGGATGTCTCTCATTGGAAGGTCTGTACCTCCTTTGCAAAAAACATAGGCGGTTCCAGGGGTGGGCATTAAGGGACAATGCCAACCCTGAAGTTTTGACAGGACATGGACAGGAAAAGGAAGTCATCATAATCATTAAAATTAATTATTGTTGTTATTAAAATTAATTTTTCATGAATATTTTGAATGTTAATACCGTAACCTTTTCTTGCAATGGCAACCAAGCGTCAAGCATCTCTTCTTCCTTTCTTGCCTCCTTAGCCAAAGAAAAGAAATACCAATGATGATGACCTTATTGAAAGAAGTAAGTTTAATAGCTAATATGTATAGATCTATATATAAGCAAGTACTGCATGTCATAAATCATTAGTTGTGTTAATGGCAGTTGCACACTAAATTTACTACCTGAAATTTCTGTAGATGAGCCAGATCTAGTGTCAGTTGATTCCACAGAGTTAGAGACCAATGATTATGATCTTCCTTGTGATACTTCTACTTCTAATGATACTGAGTCCGATAGTCAATCGCAAAGTCACACTCACAGCACATGCACAGATGATGACAATGGTGGATTTGCTTTAACTGTCACACCTAGCAGTACTTCTTCACTTTTTACATCCTCCTCCTTACAGGCTGTTTCTATGGCATCATGCTGTTCTTCAACTTCTTCCAGCTTACCATCTAACATTGCTAATAAGAAGTTTGAGAAACCTGTCCAGCCGGAAGATATATCTTTTCCTTCTACAACTTTTGGTTCCGTCAAATGATCCTTTTAAGTCGCTTGGTATCATGTGTTTCCATGGATTGAATACTCTGTTAGCAAGGACTGTGTCTATTGTTTTCAACATAGGTTCTTTTCTGTTAATCCTGACAAACGTTTCACTTTGACTGGATTTTCAGATTGGAAACATGGGAAGGGAAAGAGTGGTATTTTGACTAAGCATGATAGTTCCATCAAACACAAGAAGGCTGTACTTGCATGGAAAGATTACCAACTTACTCAACAGAATAGTCAGGCATCTATTGCCAACAAACTTGTAACTGGGAGACGCAAAGAAGTTGAAGAGAATAGGCAGTATGTAACGATTCTGATTGAAACTCTCCTTTACTGCATTCAACAAGGAATTGCTTTGCGAGGCCATTGTGAAGTAGATACTGAAGACATGGATATCAATCTTGGTACTTCTTGAGTTTAATCAATCTACAGTCTTGTCATATAGAGCTACTCAAGAAACATATCACCTCTGGTCCACGTAATACATCTCTTCTGGGTCATCACTACCAGAATAATATTCTCTCCATACTAGCTGAGAGTGTTCTTAATTGCATCAAAGAAGACCACAGAGCTGCTAAATATTTTACACTCATAGTCGACGAAACTAAGGATATAAGTAAAAAAGAACAGCTTACACTAATCCTGAGATATGTTTTGAAAGGAGTTGTACATGAGTGTTTTATATCATATACTCACTATGAAGAGCTCAATGCTGCTGCCCTGACCACTTATATCTACCAAGCACTTAAAACCATCAACCTTAGTATTAGTAACTGTGTCAGTCAGTGCTACAATGGGGCCGCAGTAATGAGCGGCCCTTTTACTGGTGTATGTAGCAGAATTCTAGAAGACAACCCACAATCTATTTATATACACTGCTATGCACATCAATTGAATCTGACATTAGTCGATTGCTGCCATTCTCTTCCTCATGCTTCAAATTTTTTTGCCCTTTTGGAATCATTGTATGTTTTTATGTCTTCTTCAGTACCACACTCTTTACTTTTAAACAAACAGAAGGAGATGAAGATAAAGGAGTTACGATTAGTCAAGCTTAGTGACACCAGATGGTCATGTCGCCATACTTCAATGAAGGCAGTAAAAACCATTTTTGCTGCAATTCTTTCTACACTAGATGAGATATTTGATACTACTGGAACTCGTGCAATCGAAGCTCGGGGTCTGTTACATCAAGTTCAGAGTTTTTCATTCCTTCTTTCTCTCATCATCTTTGATAAAATCTTCTCTATCACTGGAAATTTGTCCAACCTTCTACAAGCAGAGCAGATAAATTATTCAGCAGCTGCTATCTGCATCACAGCTACCAAAACCACTTTAGTAAACCTTAGAAGTGAAGCAAAATGGAAGAAACTTTGGGATGAAGCTGTTAAGCTGGCTAACTCTCTCAATATACATATAACTGTCACTTCAGCTCATAGACAAAGACAACCACCATCTTCTCTCTCTGGCTTCAGTATTGACAGGGAACAGCACAGCAGATATTTCTAAATACAGAACTGCAGTGTATTTTTCCACAATAGACACCCTCTTGGAAGATGAGTTAAATTTGTCAATCCTCAATTCTTTAAAATCTCTTGTCCCAACTTCTGATGTATTTCTTGATGTACCTTCTTTACTGCCTTTGCTAGAACACTACCACATTAATGTGGACGCCATTACATCATAGGTACTGACTGCCACGACACTACTCAGTGAGGCTACTCCCCTTACTAGCATCCATGAAGTCTACTCTCATTTAAATGAAGTTAAAGAATGCTTTCCTTAACTAATAATAACACTTCAAATTGCAATGACTATTGGTGTAACAACAGCATCAGCTGAACAATTTTTTTCATCTCTAAGAAGAATTAAGAATTACTTAAGATCTACAATGACCCAGCAGCAACTAAATGACTTATCTCTTATTCATATTGAAAGAGATTTCTCCAATAGACTCTGGAAAAACCTTGATGAGATCGTTGACAGATTTGCTAGTCTTCACAAAAATTCCAAAGTAGCTCTTTATTAACTCACAACTAACAATTATATGCTAAGAATAATAGTTTGATAATACTTTCTTCTTTTATCTTCTTTCCTTTTTCTGAATGTGATTATAATGGCAAAATCTACAGAAAATGTGTGGTATAATGATATAAAGTTTGTAAAGTTAAATATTGCGAGGCCCCTAATATTACGGGAAAACGTAGTTCCGCACCGCGGGAAAAGTGGGCGTGGTCAAAATCGTGGCGCACTTCGCACGCCATGTTCTCTCCTTTGCCTGCCTACTTCCACAATCCTGGAATCACTTATGGCAAGAGAGTCTGACAATCTATGTGATTCAATAGCGATGGTGACTGTGTAGTAGTTAATACTAGTTATGTCAATCCGCTAGGTGTTTCAGCTCTGGTAGCCTCCCCACTCGTTGCTCTTCATAAGAACCCTGGGATACACCCTATCGGTATTGGGGAGGTAATTAGGAGAGTAATTGGTAAAGCAATTTTGTTCGCCATTAAGCCTGATATTATTAATGTTACTGGCTGCTCCCAGCTGTGTGCTGGGGTCAGCTTAGCTCAGGGACTGTTATTAGTGGATGCTTCAAATGCCTTTAACTCTCTAAATAGAAACCTTGCATTGAGGAACATATTACATCTCTGTCCCTCTCTTGGTAGAATTCTGGTTATGCAGTATCCATACGTCTGGTAACCGGATCTGTCTGGCAGAACTATACGTCCGGCAGTGGGCATGTAGGGGCTTTGCCCCTATATTATAGAAGTCGAGTATAAATACAACAACCAGCGACGTTGATTCAGCAGGGTCGTGGTGGTGCAGTGGAGTGGTGCGTGTGAATTGCAGGGATGTGGTCAGTGGTTCAAATCCGGTCAGGACTACAGAGTAAAACTATGCTGCATGCAGTTTTTAATGTTTTTCTTTTTTAAACTATGAATTTTTTGCTATTTTTTTGGCTTTCTTTAGGTTAAGAAATAAACACCCTCTCGTACATCTTAGCCTCCAGGGTCGTAGGGTTGGGATTGGGGTTTAGTGTTTAGTTTTTTAGAGCATAGGTCAAAAAAATAACACCCTCTCGTACATCTTAGCCTCTGGGGTTGTAGGGTTGGGGTTTGGGTTTAGTGTTTAGTTTTTAGAGCATCTTCTCGTACATCTTAGCCTCAGGGATTGTAGGGTTTTGGGATTAGGGTTTAGTGTTTCTTGCGCACAAGCTGTTTCACAGAGAAAAACGGAGTCACGCCCCTGAATATGCCCACTGCCTGATGAATAGTTCTGCCAGACATATCCAGTTACTGGATAAATAGCCACTGCCTTCCGGTTAACTTGTACAGAATGGAGAGCTCCCTCTTTAATGGTAAAGATACTCTACTGTCCAAGGAAGGCACCATTCAGGGGGAGTTGCTTCAGTCCCACTAATCAATGAACTATCTACAATATCAGATGTGCAGCAGCTGTGATACACTGACAACACTACAGGCATGGGCTCTTTGAAAGGACTGAGTAAATAGTGGGATAAGATTAATTTGTTGGGTGGTTCTTATGGCTACTTGCCCAATGCAGTGAAGTCTACATTATCGATGAGACCAGAGTGTTATGATGAGGCGTGTAAGAGGTTCAGTGGTACAAATGTATCAGTGACAAGTGAAGGTTTTAGGGTCTCCTGTTGGTCCTCCTAATTATGTTCAGTCTATGGTTAGCAAGAGAAAATATGTCTGGTGTAAGAAGTTGAAGGTATTGGCTGATGTCTCAACCACAATCAGCCTATAGTGCTTTCACTCAAGGTCTCTTCGGTGAATGGACCTACTTATTCAGGACACATACGATTGATGAGAATCTTCTACAACCATTGGAAGATTGAATGAGACAGGAGTTTATTCTTGCACTACTGGGAAGAGATGCTGTAAGTGACTTGGAGAGAGATTGGCTATCCTTCTCAACTAGATGTGGTGGTCTTGGGCTGCATAATCCTCTCTCATTTTGTAATACTCAAAGAGCGGCTTCTATCTCCATTGTGAGGCCTTTAGTGAATCTGTTGCTGAGTGAAAGGACTGATTTGCCACTGGATGTTGATGATAAGATGTTACAGTTAAAGAAGGAGTGTGCCAAGACTAAGGAAGTAAAGTATAAGAGTCTGATAAATCACGTGAAGTCCTAGCTACCAACGGACCGATTGAGACTGTTTGAAGTGTCCATTGAGAGCGGATCCTCTACTTGGCTCACTGCCCTGCCCCATAAGGAGTATGGCTTTGATCTCACTAAGGGTGAGTTAAGAGATGCTATCAACCTGAGATATGAGTGGAGACCATCTGATCTTCCTCTCATATGTGTTTGTGGTGAATCATTCACTGTTGCCTTCTCACTTACGTGTGTCTATGGAGGACTCATTACTCAACATCATAATCATCCGTGATTTCTCAGTCTCGCTATTGAAGGAGGTATGTCCTAATGCCTGTAGAGAGCCAATACTACAATCCCTTAGTGAGGAATCTTTTCGCCTACGGACTGCCTTACCTGATGATGGAGCCAGACTGGATGTCTCAGCTGAGGGCTTTTGGGGACACCAGTACCAAAGGGTCTTTTTTGATGTAAGAGTCTTTTGTCCACTCTCTTCCACCAATGCATCAAGATCTCTGTCAGCTTGCTACAAGGATAACGAAGAGAAAAAACTAAATTATAATAAATAGATTAGAGAGGTGGAGCATTCTACCTTTTCCCCTCTGGTTTTTTCATCGTCCGGTATCT